AATCCGCCACCTCGACCTCCGGGGCGAGAAAGCCCCGTTCGTAAGTGCGGATCCGACATAAGTCGGATCCGCGTAAGTCGGGGACTGCTTGTAGTGATTTCAGGGGAAAGGTTGTATTCAAATACATTCCTGTTCACTGTATAAAATATGTATTTGTAAGTTTGGGTAAGGCTCTGTGTTAATTTTAATTATCTTTCTCAGTTTATGTTTAACAGAATGTAGTCTTACTTCAAAATTGTTGCAGAAATATTTTGGACAGTGATAGATGTGACTGATTCTGTGCTAAAAGGTCAGGTGGTGTGTTTAGCAATCACCATTATGGAGCAGCACTCTCTGGATTAATACCTCACCTGATAGTAAAATCATTTTTGGCAGAAATCTTACCCACTAGTGGAAAATGTAATGAGCCTTTGTAAGTCTTTATCTTAATGTCTCTTCTTTTAACTGAGCACATTAGATGGAGTTTGGCTTTTTTTCCTCGTGCACTTGAAACAAGATTTAAGTATTTCAACGCTCTCGGTGATGCAGCTATTACATTTAAATTTCTCTTCACAGACAGTAATCTGTCAACAGTAAGTAAGTAGGGTGAATAAAAGATGATAGGCTTAGAGAGTGGTGCAGGATGGCTGATCAGGTTCTGTGAATGAGTGCATCTATCAACGTAGTTTTCAAACTAATGCAACAGTACCATTTACTAATATTTTTTCTTCGTGTCCCTAATGTGCAACCCAGAATGGGTGTTAGATCCTTTTACTGGCACATGTAGAATAGTGTGCTGTCCTTTCTCCCAGTGGGTGGAGATTTCCTTCTGTTTTGCTCATCTAAATTATTTAATTTTGGCTTATGTGCCATTGTATGCCAGTTTGTACAAGCTGAGGCTGGGCAGTTAGTTCCTTGGAGACCGATCCCTAAAGTTTTGCAGCACACATATAGGCTTTACTTGGGAACTTGAATGCATAGGGTTTTATAGTTTTTATTGTAAGGGACTATTCTTTCTTCTGCTTGAATTGAGATACTAGAAAATCCATTTAATAGGTTCAAGACCTTCAAAGTTGTTATCTAGAAATATACTTACCAAAACAAATGTGTTCAACAAAAACTGCTCCTTTCAATTTTCATAGGGGCCTATCTCTACAAGATGGATCATTATACAAAGTTCCTGAATGATTTAGGAGACTAATTTCCATTGCTTAAGAGCCTAAGGCTTATCTACATGGGAAATCTTAAATTGATACAGGGAGAAGGTGAGCTCCCTCTGATAGAGGCAGCAAGTCGGGGGGAACTGACTAGTCGACTTGTGTGTCGACTATCCGATAAGCCTTTGCTTATTGGATAGTTGATTAGTCGCTTATATCCCTAAACCATACCAGTGTAACTCCCCCTGGGGGCACTCCTAATCCAGAATTCTAGTATCGTTTATCTCACTTTTGGAGCAGTGTAAGCTAAAACCAAAAGAAGACTCTCTTATTCAGTAAATATCCATTCAGGGTAGTTATACCAGTGTAAGTATAGCTCTTAGACTAAAATAAAATATATTGGGAAAAGGTCTAATGTACACAAGCCGAGTCTCAGAGACTTCTGATAGGTTTTAGGCTCTGAAGTACTTAAGACACTTTTTAAAATAGGATTTAAACTATTATGTACATTTGAAAAAGTATACTGTTTACACTGATGCTGCTCAACATTGTCACAGTGAATTGAATGTATTCCTCTAATCCATTGTCCAAGATGAAACTTGGAGGGAGGGAAAAGTTGTTGGAAGAAAAGAATGAAATGAAGGCAAGGGATGTACATTCAAAGTTGCATCTAATGCCGGTGACTCTGAGCCATACCTGATCACATGAGTATCACCGGACAGTGCCTTGTAGTGTCTGACTTTTGGTTGACCAGTATATCTTTGCACTGTCCTGTTTCTGCAGGCTGCTCCTGGGGTGGGAGATGTGACTCAAGAACCTGGAACAGGCAACTGGAGAGGAATGCTGAAACCCTCAAAAGCTGAAGAGATATTAATGGAGGAAAAATCTAAACCAATTACAGTCTTACCTGCCAGCCCCCAAAAAGGCCATGCTGTAAACCTATTGGATGTGGTAAGTTGTGAAAAATATGCTATAGCTGCACCTCTTCTGATTAGGTCAGGCACAGGAAACAGGGTTTTAATCTGTATTGAATTCTATATCTGTAAAATATGAAACTGGACATGAACAGGTCCTGTGCCATTAACCCTTCCTTGCCCTTTAGTTCATGGACCAGAACTGGGAAGCACTGGATTAGTTTCACACCAATCTAAATGAAGGATCTACTTGACTACTTACTTTGTTATACTATAAAAAGATAAATCTCTTGTCAGAATAGCAAATGTGTCCTATAC